CTTCCCTTTTTATTTTAAGCTAAGGTATTAGTTAATTGAATGCACACAACTTGTTTATTTGTGCAGCTGCTAATCTTATCAAATCGGATTATATAATTGTTTTTTTTTTGATATTTTACCGGTAATCGCCAGTTGTTAAGAGCTGATAAATTTTATTATTAAAACTTAAATATGAAAGTTTTTATACAGTGTTTGCGGACAGCTTACGAGCAAGGCGATCCGGTGACGATACGGATTTGATGAAGTGAGCCTATAAGGAGTATATCTGTAGAAATCCACATAAAGAATATCAACCGCACAAGTAGAGGCGGTCAGGGCCGTCTTTAATCTATTGGAGGCCCTGGGCATATTAGGATAAAGGGGCCCCTATGACTTTGACGTGGATTATGACTTGAAATAGAGCGAGTCATACTGATGAGTGTACTACTGATGATTTTTCTTTAAAATGTGTATGTGCTTAGTATACCGGGAGAGTAGAATAGCTTCGCTTATGTAAAAGCTAGGAGGTTGGTATTGTAGTCAGTAATTTAGGTTCGATTTCATCTAATTATATAAGTTTTTTGGTAATAAATATTGGCTATCGTTTGGTGAACTTTGTATTTGATCTGAGGGAGGCCCCTATAGATCGCGGGGCCCTGGGCACTTGCCCAAAGTGCCCACTGGGAAAGAGGGCTCTGGAGGCGGTGATGGTTCTGTGTCCAGTGGGTCTAATGAGCTATGACCTGGAAGAGGGGTACGTAAGTTTACCTTCGCATATCTATACTAGTCCTTGCATATGAAATTAACGTTTTGTCGTACTGACCACTTTGATCTGAAATATCTCCTCTTTGATTAAGAAATCTTTCTAGTAAAATGACTGTTTCAACCGCTACTTGGCGACGCCTTTGGCTACCTTGGTAGCAATGTTTTATTACTGAAATGCGGCTGCTGAAATTATGGGTTTGTGTTAGGTCATTAACAGAACAAAATACCTACTTTTCGATTTAGAAAAAAAAGATGTCCGAAAATATTCTGTCAATATAAGGATGGAAGTTTTTCTATGGTTTCTACACAATTTCAGGTGACCAATGTCTCGGCTGCATCTGCAGTCGTAAGTACCCGCCAATCCTCATTGGGCCCGCGTAGTGTGTCATGGCCCAATCTCCCTATTACATCCATAGGGAAAACCTGTGCCCCAGCAGTAGGGCCATTAACTTACGACTGCAGATGCAGCCGGGACATTGGTCCCAACTGCATCTGCAGTCGTAAGGTTAAGCAATTGGGCTTAACGTGCCTTCCGACGCACGGAGGAACTCGAGATAGAAGATTTTTGGTCACCCATCCAATCACCGACCACTGCGAAAGTTGCTTTACTTTAACGAACGAAGCCGAACGCGCTAACCAGCTCCTCGCGACCGAGCATCACTGAACGAGTATAGCTGATAAAGTATATTATCTTTTATAGCATTTGTCGCTCAACTACAAACTAGTGGAGCGGGTTCTCGCAGACAGTGAGAACAGTCAGCGAACAACTATTATTAATATATCATCTCTTATGTTTACAAGGAATGAGGTATATCTATTGTACGTTTCTTGAGCGAGAAAATAGCCGATAGTTAGTCGCTTCCTCGCCGGTGGTGGGATAACTGCGTAAATTTTAGAGATATGATTGTAAGTACACCTTCTTCTATCTCTTTCTTCTCTTTGAGGATCTCGATGGCGCAGGTGGTTAGCGCGTTCGGCTTGAGTGACCCAAAAATCTTCTATCTCGAGTTCTTCCGTGTTTCGGAAGGCACGTTAACTCGCCAATCCGCATTGGGCCCGCATGGTGGGTCATGACCCAATCTCCCTATTCCATCCGTAGGGAAGGCCTGTGCCCCAGCAGTGGGGACATTAATAGGCTGATGATGATGATGACACCTTCTTCAGTCATAGCAGTGTTAAAAAATGAAACCAAATGAATTTAAGCCAGAACATTTTATTAATTATTAACGATAATGGTAATAATATCCCACATTTTCTGTTTATTGATGTAGTTTAAGGTAATTACTACAGTAGGTAGCTAAAGATTTATCCTCTGGAGAAAGGTGGTTCAGCATTTGTATGTAGATGGAATATGCCGCTTTGTCTGGAAAATAAAGAGTTGTAGTAAGTATTTATTTATTTATTTCACTTTACGCCTTGGCCTGGGTAGGGTAGACCACGGAACACAGAAAGAGGTTAGAAGGGTGAAGCGATGTCGCCGGTTGGCCCCCACTATTTCTGCCTAATAGATAATAGCCAATCAAACGACGCGAAATCAAACAATCGAACCAATCAGTGCTCACACTGAGAGCAACGCCGCAATCAGGACCAAACTTTGGTCAAGTAATGAGCATTTTCTCAAAATTAACTGTGGTGCGCCTGCCCCGCCCACAAGGCGGTTCGAACCTCTTCCTGTGTTCTGTGTGGTAGACAGAGAGAACAGAGCGCCACGAAGCATGGTTAATTTGTTTTAATGTTAAAATGGTTACTGTTTTAACCCGAGATTCATAAACATACTTGGGAGATACACAATTCATAAACATTCGCCTCTCAGACGTATATATTATTTCGATCATTTTAGATTTCTACAACAAAATACATTTAAATTTTAAAAGTGGTTTATTTAATAATAATAAGTTGAAATAAAAGAATAATAAGTTGAAATAAAAGAAAAAAAAACGAGCGAGCCTTACAGTAGTCGCGTATGATGTGTAACATTTGAAACCTCACCATAGATTAGTAAAAAAAGAAATAAAACCTACTACAAAAGGAATAAGCCATTTGAACATCATGTTCTAAAATCGCGACTTCCTGTTTCACACTTCCGTCACATTTCACGAAATCACTCCCACAAATTGCAGGAAAGCGAGAGGAAAGATGTTACATATCAAAAAAGTTATTCTGAGCAATCAACACATACTATTCCTCGGTGATCCATATACATGATTTTTTTGCATTGGGTATAACAGAACCTTCTTATCGACGTTTTTTATAATCGCAGAAAGCATATTTTTTTTCTGTGATCCACTGGGTCACGATAATATTATCTAGTGACTCGGCCCTGTCCTTGAAATAACTGCCTACGGCGTATCCACGCGGTAGGGTTGCCCCCCTACAGTATTTTAATTTCATCTATGTAATTGCGTTTCTTTCTAGTTTCTTGTTCTAATGTAAAAAAAGAAGATTAATAAAACTGAAGACTAAGCTGTATGGGCATTATTCCCTTTGCCTTCCATGAAAATGGAGAACGTTAAAAAAAAATATTACGTATGTTCTTACCCAGTCTTCGGCACTAGGCCACCCATCCTGAGGTTGCCTGGCATGAAGCAGGTGCCAGCTGTTGCCAAGAGGAAAGAACCGCAGCGACGGCCAGTAAACCCGCCAGTGAGCAACGATTCAGCCAAGTAGAAGTAGGACCTGGAAGTTTTTTTTCAATAGTCATCACCGAGTCTCGCGCACATAACAAATAATCGTTAATGAATATGCGTTTGAGTATAGGAAAGAATATTTGTACAAGTATGAGTGCCACTTTGAGTACGAGATGGAGTATGAGTATGAGTACGAGTATGCGTAAGAGTATGATTATATGTATTAGTATGAGAATGAGTAAATAAATATATGGGTACGAGTATCTTCTTCGTACTCACCTAGCGTGAGTACGAATAGGCGAATATCAGTCATGCGTATCATATCCAGGCATATTTGTCGCTCCATTTAGATAGATGTATATGACCGAGAGGAGCCATGAAGCCAAAGATCCATCATTTCTGTGGATCACTTCTGTGCTCACGCGTTGCCGGCGCAGAAACGGTTGGCGTTCTTACAAATATGAGTACGCGTATGAGTACGAGTACCAGTACAAGTATGAATACGGGTATGACTATGGGTAGGTATCTACTACGTACTTACCTAGCGTGATCATACTCATGCGTATCACATCCGGGCATATTCGCCCCTCCATTAAGATAGAAGTCTAAAAAGGATAAGAAAGGATAGAAGTAGACCAAAGGGAGTCATGAAGCCCGTTTTTGTGGATTACTTCTGTGTATGCGCGGTCATCGGTTAGGAATAGGTATTTAGCTTTTAACTCATAACAGGTTTTATATTTACACTATAAAAAAATAGGTAAATAAATTGTTGGTGACTTATTTATTTGAACCCCCTCTACCGACGCCTACCGTCGGGCAAGTATAAGTACAAGTGTGAGTGCCAATTTGAGTACGACTATGAATGCCAGTTTCAGTACGAGTAAGAATATTTGTACGACCATTAGTATGAGAACGAACATCAGCACGAGTAACAGTATGAGTATCAGCACAAGTAACAGTACGAGTATCTTACTCGTACTTACCTTTTTTCTTGACGATGGAAAATCTATTTACGTACCATACCGCGCGCTGGCTAGGCACGCGACGTGTGTGGGACTCCCAGAGGCGGAACAGCGCCGGTCCTACCCACTAAAACCACCGGTACCCTCCTACGGCCTTGTGGGAGCGTCTCAGGATCGGCGTACCTCTGTGTGCGCTACTTCACTGGGACGCCCCTGGGCCGGCCCGGCCCAACTAGTGGCCGGACGACACGCCTCTGGGGGATTGCGCTAGGGTACTAGGCAATAGGGATGATGACTAATTTTTTTTTCTTCCTTTATCAGGTAGATTATCAAAAAGTATTGGACACATAATTTTTCTTTTTCACATAATATAAACATTGCAGAGATATATTGATTTGAAAAGTCGCATGACGTCACGTTTGAGTACACTTATAAGTGAAAATTCACTCAAAAGTGACGTCACGAGCCCCAACTCCCAAACTTTGACGCGCTATAACTTTGTCATTTTTTGGTTGATTTGGCGCAAAGAAAAAATACGTGTCCATTATTTTTGGATCATCTAACTGACGGACTAAATAGAATTTCGTTTACTGTACCCCGTCATCACCTCTATTACCAGACGGGGTGGCCTATGCCGAATGGCACCTAGGGCACGCGTTCTTCGTACTTACCTAGCGTGATCACATTCATTCGTATCACATCCAGGCATATTCGCTCCTCCATTAGGGTAGAAGTCTACTTGACCGAGTGGACTCATGTAGCCCAAAGCTCCAGCGTTTGTGTGGATAACTTCTGTGTATGCGCCGTCGTCGGCGCGGAAACGGTTCGCGCTGTTGATGAAGCCGGGTAGGGCCGCTTCTAAGGCTGTAAGCAAAATATAGTGTGTTATACAACTTACATCCGTAAGTAAACTTCAAATTGATGATAAGTATAAATAAATTCTCTCGAAGGGCACTTTTAATGAGACGATTGCTACCCGGTTTCTACCTGGGTCAAGGCAAGGTTTTAAACCGTGCTACGTCCGGTCGTCAGTAGCGCTAGCGCAGGTTTGGGGTCGGTACAGACGTAGAAGCCGTGCTCGTAAACAAGCTTAGTCGGCACCGTGACTAGACCCAGCGGAAAACCGATTGATAAGAAGCGCCCTAAATGTACATACTTGTTCAACACTCACTCTGTGGGGGCGACATATATCCAACAGATGGAGGAAATCATCACTCACTTCCCAAGAGATAGCGCTACCGACGCTGCTTTCAATACGTATGGAAGCCTACATCACGCATGTGAAATTCGGATGCTAACACTCCATATAGACAATGCCCGATCAACATCAGACGGGCCGCGACCCCCGAGCTACCATCATCAAGCTCGGAGGAAGATCTTTCCGTTTGGCCTTCCTACACCCCTTATCGGGTTCGAGCCCAGGACCTTGTTATATTAAAATATTAATCCATATTTTCTTGATCACCTCATTTTGAGAACAACTTTACCATTGATTTTAGGAATTTTTAAATTCTTATTGAGCTTGACGACGGACGTCTGCTGGGTCTTTGAGCTATTAAAATGTTGGACACTTTCCCTACAATCATGTAGCCTGATCTAGCCTTTAAGTAAGAATAGCATAACTTACTATACTAAATATCTAAAGACACGTACCTCTATTTAAAATTATTTAAACATTCAAGAAAAGGAGTTAGTATCATTCTGTTGTATTCCATTTAATTAACTAGATTTTGTGTTAATAATTGCGATTGTAACATCATTAATATTTAAAGTTTATATCCTAGAGTTTAACTCATTCGTTTATTATTTTAGTAATTTTGCTGTGCCCAATCAGTTTCTATGTTTGGAACTCTTTATGTATAATTTGAAACCAACTGTAATGTATAACATAGAAAATGCAATAAATGTTTTGAAGATTGCAGTAGGAAAATGTTCACCACACAATCATTTACATATAGGCATTCAAACACGGGGCTGCTGTCACACTTCCTACGTGAAATTTAAGCAATCTTTTCCCCCACATTACTTCCGACCATGCCACCCTGGTGCACCCCAGTCAGTTAAGCTAGTTTATGAACCAGGCGATGACTTCACCTGGTTAACAAACTTATTTTCACAAATCTGATTGGGTTTACATGGATATTCCCTAGGACCAAAATACTCATCAAGACGAATCAAACGAGTTGGCAGACACGGCCTGCGGCCGCGGTCTCTCCTATGTGTCTCCTCTCTTTAACCACCACGACCCGGCCGGCGGGTAAGGGGCGGCGTCTGTCTGTGAGCCACTTAATATTGAATGTATTTCGTCAAAGGCTGTATATCATGCAAGATTGTTAAACCTCATCTCTTACACTCTTCTTACTCCCAGCCTTTGTACCTTTTATTTATTTTCTGTTTCGTTTCCTCTCCTCTTCCTTTCACCTCTCACTATTATTAAACCGTTCTCCCCTCTCCCTGTTTTTCCCACCCATTCGACCTCCCTGGCTGCATCTCGACGCGGCCTCGGATTCTGATGGCTCTACTCTACCAACTATCAAATCCTCTACATCACAATATAACCTTTCAATCAACTTTAAAATGTAATGAATAAATCAAACGAGTAAAAACTCGACGTGGTTAAGTAGTTTCATTACGGAGATCCTTTGGCCACCTTCCTATTTCATCTTCAACACCTGACCCCCAATTTAGGATCAAAGTACTCATCAAGACGAATGAATCGAGCGCCAACTCGTTGCGGTTCAGTCGTTTTATTTCAGACTTCCTATGGCCATCTTCAGAGCGCGGGTATCAACTAGAGATATAGTATTCGTCAGGAGGAATCAAACGAGCCCAAACTCGATGGGATTTTGGAGGACCTTGCACTAACTAACCACTGATTAAACACAATACCCACCCATGTTAGCTTTAGCTGGTAACACTGAACTCTACAACTGCAGGTACCCTTAGCACGAACCAATATCGAATTCGAAAAGTTTGCACGTTTGAAGACCAATCAACATCGAGTGGCCCGTCCGCTCGTCTGCCTTCAAAGGCAATAAAAAATACCAATAATACCTGTTAAATAAGCGATTTTTCCGTTTACATTTCTCCCGATCATGCCGGCTTGATGCGCGCCCAGGCTGTGCCCTACGATATGGTAGTGGCCGGGCTCGGCGCCAGTCACCTGGTTCAGCCAGTTAATGAACCGGGCGATGGATTCACCTGGAAATTACACCAATAACATCAAATTATTATTATTATTTTTATAGATAGGTCCGACAAATGACTCCACCCCACCTGATGTTAAGTGACGGTGAAGTCCAGACATGAAGATAGCGTGAAGGTACAGCAGTTCTACCTGCCACACCAACCACCCTCACCTTGCCGGCCTACATGTTGCTTCTTCACGCCTCTTTTAAAGGATCCCAGGTTGTCAGAGGGAGGGATCACGTGAGTAGGCAGAGCATTCCATTTACGGATAGTGTGACAAAGAATTGAGTCAGCAAATTTCTTTGTACGCGTTGGAATTTTGGCCACAGTTAGACGGTGACAACAACTTCTATAATTCTTCAGAACACTCGCCGTGGTATAGATGATAGAACGTGCTTAGTGATATCACGTAACGGCGTAATTGAAGAGGCTCGAGGTGTTTAGTCACCTCCACATCGCCTATGATGCGGAGGAGATGAGACCCTATATTATTATTTTACGTCATAACAAGCTTATGGTCCGCCTGATAGTAAACGGCCACCATAGCGTCAGTCACTCGCGCCGTTGCCTATGGGTATTTTCTGTGAAAATTCAGTTGCTTAATAATAAGGCGTTTTCAATTATGGCCTGGTTTAGGCTAGCTTAACCGTCACGCCAGAATACACAATGAAAAGCTATCAAAAAGAGTTTTTAACTAAAAGAAATTATAGCATGACTGAGGTAAAGTTGGCCTTTCCGGTGGTCTGCAGGACGAAGGATGTTGGCTACAGCTGTAGCGTAGTTGATGAATCTTACCAGCGGAACGGGTGTTGGCTACAGCTGTAACGTAGTCGATGAATCTTACCAGCTGGAAGGGTGTTGGCTACAGCTGTGGCGTAGTTGATGCTGCCTGCGCCTGCGCTCCAATCTACGACAATCACGTTCACATCCTCAGCCGCGAGGAAAGCTGGAAAAATTAGCAGAAAATTAATTTCTCATATTATTTTGCTTATCATGGTACTTTAGTGTAGGAGTCACATCAGAAAAAAGTGGAAAGTCCGGCGATCCGCGATGACAAATTCTTCTCCGCTTTATGTAATATCATAACTATTGACGACCTCGGTGGCCGAGCGGTATGAACACCGTGTTTCAAGGTGTGGCCTACTCAAGAGGTAGTCAAATGTTTGCGTGAAGAATACGAGCAATTGTACTCGAGTCATAGATGTTAATATGTATATCTGTATCATCATCATCATCAACAGCCTATCTTAGGCCACTGCATAGGCCTCTCCAAATGCACGCCACTCAGATCGATCTTGGGCTACCCGCATCCAGCTCCTGCCAGCCACCTTACGCAAATCGTCACTCCATCGCGCCTGAGGACGTCCCACATTACGTTTGCCTAGACGCGGTCTCCACTCCAGAACTCGTCTACCCCAACGGTTATCGGTATTTCTGTATTTATACACTTATTGATTTATTAACATAAATAAGTATATTTATACAGAAATACTTTATATTAGTATACGAGTATGTATATACATTAGTAAATGTGTTCTATCCGTTACCTTAGCATTCCATAACACAAGCTTTACATTGGTGCTAAGCTAAATGGTGTGAAAAAAAAATTGTTTCAAGCCTGCAAGATCCAAGAGTAAAGACTAAAGTCTTAGCTGAGAGCTTTTTTTGGCATTAGCTCGAGATGAGTGGGTTGACGATTTTAAACCGACTGAGTGACGCAAGAAACGGTAATGTGTTCGTTAGAAAATAAAATCAATCTAGGCAAAATTAAGTATGCAGGTACTTAAAGCCTACTGCTACAGCTACAAAGAATACTGAAAATATCGACAAATATCGCGTTGGCAAGGTCGATACATCAGATATCGATATTTACCTGCCTTCGATACAATAGCCTAGTCGATATAAGTATCCATTTTGCAAAAAACTTAGCATACCTACTTACAGATCTGTAAATATAGGCACTATAAGCATATCGATATTTGCGATAAAAGCGCGTTAGTATGATATGGGTCAGAACTGAAAATCAGCGATTTACTCTCTGAGTTTGTTCGCTGTTTCGCTGAGTTTTCGCCCATTCGCATCGCTGCTGCACAGGAAAATATCTTAGTATAGTTGTTTAATTAATATTTGTTGACTGTTTTAAAAGATTGATCTAATTGTAAAATTTGTCTTGTGGATTTTGTATGTGTGCATCTATGATCGGTATATCGGATATCGATATTTGCCCGACTTCGATATAAATTTCGTTAGCGCGTTTGGCTGCGATCTTTGAAGTTAAGCAACTTTCACAGTTGTCGGTCATTGAACGAGTGTCCAAAAATCTGCTATCTCGAGTTCCTCCGTGCTTCGAAAGGCACGTTAAGCCGTTGGTCCCGGCTGCACCTGCAATCATTAGTTCCCGCCAATCCGCACTGGATTGGCGGGTGCTAATGATTGCAGGTGCTGCAGGATCCGCACAGGGAAGGCCTGTACTCCAGCAGTAGAGACATCAATAGGCTGATGATGATGATAATGAAAAGTCCAAACGCGAAGATAGCTGGTACAGCAGTTATAAACTGCCACACCAACCAACGTGAGGACCTTGCCGGCCTGCAAAAATGCTTCTTCTCGCCTCTTTTAAAGGACCCCAGATTGTAGGAAGGAGGAACACGTGCACGGTCAAAGAATTCTACTTACGAATAGTACGACAAAGATATGACAATTTTGTATGTGTGATGTTGGTGCAAATAAAGTCTTATTTATCTATCTATGATCGGTATATCGGATATCGATATTTGCCTGACTTCGATATAAATATCGATATTTCAGAAAACTGCATCCCTACCTGGTATCAAAACTTGGTTCATTGCAGCTGTGGCACCTACTCTCCAGCCATGCAAGGTTATAATGGTCCTCCTTTTCGGGTTGTAGTCGGTTAGACCAAGCAGACCATTGTTGCCAGTGAGCAGGGGCTGGCTGACTGTTGGGTTAGATCTGAGGAGACATTCAACAAATAAATAAAAAAAAGAAAAAAAATGGTGTGCACGGACAACACTTCTTTTCTTAAATAACCTAACATTTGGCGGTGCATCATGGTGTAACTCGTCGGGAAGAGCTGCGCACGCATCACACACACACACTCACACTCACATGCACACACACACACACACACACACACACACACACACACACACACACACACACACAGACACACACATAAACACACAGACACATACACATAGTCGTATGACGATATATATATAGATTACCTATCTACGAAATATAAAGTATTTCTTTCTTTTTTATATTTACAACTCCGCAAGTAAAGAGTCATTTTAAATGTGCCGAAATAAAGCAAAACAAGTTTTCTTGCCTGGTGAATAGATGATACACGATCTGACGTTCAGGGTCGAATCTGGCTACAGCCTCCGCGTCTGCCGTGGTGAGCCAGGTGTCAGCTAGGTGAATGTTGCCGTCAGTGTCGGGCACGTACTGGTAGCGCGGTCCGTCGGCGAGCTTGGCAAGCACATGATCTTGAGCAGGCAGTGCTGGAATTGGAAACAAAGGAACATCTAAACAAAACAAAACAAATCTAAACCAAATTGCAGAGGATGAAGTCTGCATGAAATTGCGTGAATTTTAAATTATAAGATATTCTATGTATCGTAAAATATGGCAGTCAATAAATGGAACATTGGTACATGTTCTTGAAATTTATTTTCCAAAGAATTTCTGGGCTTGTTTAGATGTATACATTTATTGCATTCCTGCTGTTTACATGCTGTTACAATATATATATATATATATATGTATATCATTCAAAAAAAGAACCCAGTTAGGGTATTGCAATAATCCTAAACTAAATAGATAGAATCTACAGTCATAATTATGAAACGTTCCAATATAACAAATTTTCAATCCTGTATAACATATTGTAAAAGTTAATTCAATTGTCCAAAATATAATGCAAATGTAAAAAAATTAAACTTAATATAGCAATGGAAGCAGGTACAATGTCTGCTATTGCTTATCTGTCTACATATTAAAGTATAACTTTAAAATCTGTAAATATTGTTTTAAAATTACTTGTATTTAAGAGAGGTAGGGTATAGAGGATTACCCGCTTGAATTGGGGAAGCAACCTCCACCTTACAGAACACCACAGTAAAATAACACTACTTATTGGCGGTGTTGTGTTTCTGTCGGTGATTAAGGTTCCAGAGCTCCACGGGTAGAGGATGGGGTCATGGTAGACAACGGCAAGTGATATGTTCGCAATCGTAAGCGTCTTTCACTTATGGTGGCCGTTTACCAAAGGGCGGGCCATAAGCTTGTTTGTTGGCCTTATAAAATAACGCACTAATCCAAAATTTTTGTTTTTTGGTAAACGCTAAAAATGTGATTGACAAGTTGGCCATTTCTTTGTTTTTCTATTATAATGCTATAAGTTATACGTTTATTATCATATTTTTTATTGTAAATGGTAGGATACCAATTGTTTTCACGATTGTTTACTAAACCAGTCTGTACAACTAATAAGAACCTTTGTTAATTAACCATCAAAAAAAAACATGTCACTTATTTTCCGAAAACAGTTTATTATAATTGGTTTATTTCACTTTGTGCCTATTTTTTAATAAACAACATAAAACAAAAACGTAATTATTCAATATAGAGACGATTCATTCTAATGTTATGTATTTGATAGATGACCAATTTTGTAATATGCTAGTTTAATAATTAATGATTTTCTAAATTAAAGGAAAATGTAATAAATGTCCACGCAGGCTATTGTAGTCAATACGGGGGGGGGGGGGGGGGGGGGGTATGCGTGTCATTTAAAAAGAGACGAAAATAATACGTTTGTCTTCTTCTGACCTAAAAGAGCCTGTTTATAATTAATAAACTGATAGAATACATGTTTTAATGTCATTTCACGATTAAAAGTCATTTTGCTATTTTTTTTTATTTAAGTCACTTCATTTCTAAAGGTGCGATAAAATAAATTAACAATACAAAAAATTGAAGTTCCTAAAAGGGGAATTAGCAATTAGATCTGATTACCTAAATTATATTTAAAATACCGTTCAGGCCCTGCGGAGTTATACGGGGGATGTGCAGGTTTGGTGCAATTGGAGAGACCTATGTGGACAGTGAACTGGGGTAGGCTGTTGATATGATGATGATGATGTGCAGGATTTAAGTCACGAAAGCGAAGTCGCAGGTGGATAACAAGTTCAATATAAGAATAACAATAAAACAATTAAGATAATAATTATTTGTGCTAAAGTAATAAATGATAAGATTAATAATATAGTAGGAAATCAGAATGTTCAGATTCAATAATTCTTAACAACACATTTAAGATTATCATCACTGATAGCGCAGGTGGTTAATCCGAAACAGGTGAATGCACTTTATAATATTGTTACTAAGCATGAAACTGCTAGATTTATAAGTTAAAGATTTTTTTATACTAGGAAAACTTCCATTCGATTCAAGCATCAGATATTATCTGATACCTGGAATGAGGGGGATTTTATTCGTTCCAGGCATTAGATAATATCTGATGTCTGGAATGAGCGGAAATTTTTATATACATTACTGATATTTGTGTTAATTAGAAAAAAAACCTGGTCAAATCCAAAATAAAGGTTTTTCTGACAGAATACGCCATTTTTTTCGGAATAAAATTTTGTATCTCTTACCTGTATTAAATAAAATCAAATCCAAAGCAATTCGTAGTAAAATCTATTTGAAATCCACTGATCAGTATCATAAATAGTCAAGTCCTTCTAAGGTTAGAAACAAAATCAGAAGCAAGAAATTGTATGAAAATGACAGCCGTTCGGCGACCGTTTTGCGCAGTGACGAGCACACCGATTGTGGTTTTGTATTTTCGTTGCCGTTTTTAATTGAAAACTGGTGTTTCGTCACAATAAAATAAACAATTTAATAAAGGAAACTCCCCATTTATCTCGGAAAGGGATACAACAAAAATCGAATTGGAAATGCAACATGTTGAAGAAGGAAAGGTACGTTTCCATAACTTTTATCACTCATACTGTCCTCATAACGAGTAGTAATAAACATTGCGCGTGTCTTAATTCTGTTGTAGGTTTTATTTTTGATCATCCACTGAATATAATTATTTTTCTTGCTATTGTGCAGGGTTATTTAAAATAAAGGAGGACTGATTTCAAAGTACTATTGTTATATTTATTTGATGTTACTTACTACCCTACCAACCCGAAAGGTTTGAAACTCTTGATAAAGTATTATTTCAGTGTCGAAATCAGGCAAAAAATGGTCAAATCCAACTAGATTACTATCAAATCTAGTTAAATCCACAGATTTTTTTCGAAATTGGCCAAATCCAAAATTCAATCTCAATTAACTTAGTTTTTTTGTTCTATGGTCATTAGGGTGGTCCTTATTTTTCAACTTTCGAATTATCCTCCGGGCACTTTCTTATTTGATTATATACCTCTAAATACGAAATAGGTGTTTTTTTGTTTTTGATTTTGTTAAGATTTAGAGGTCGCTACCAGCTGTCAATTTTTTACAAAAAGTGTTCAAATACAGCTTAAATGGTGATTCCATTAATTTAAAATTTAGGTACATAACATGTTACGTGCGAGTGAAACTAGCATAGACTATACCTTCTAATCCCCCTCCCCCCTCTCCGTTCCTCGACCCCCTCATTTGTACTACGATCGCCCCGCACTTCAGTTCTGTTAAGCAACAAGAGCGCACGTGTTGTTTTTGTAAAAGTTACAGTGAAGTGTTTCAATTTGCAATGGCGTCTACTAGTAGCGGATTCAGTATAACTACTAGAAATCAAAGTGAGATTTGGCTTATCGGTCAATTATTATCTGAATTAAGCCAATCAACCTTACCATCCATTGGCGAAGTGTTGCGATATTTTTTCTACTACAAAAATGAAGAAAAGAAAAGTATTCGTGAATCTGCGACTTTGACGGCTTGTGGGGTTATTAATTTGTGGGAAAAAGCTGGCATACCTATTCAATTAAAAAAACATGTCATCAGCAAAATTGAAAAGCTGTTCAAAGAATGGCAGAATCTAAAAAAAAATAAAGAAAACAAGAAAAAACGTTCAGAAGCATTGAAAACAAAAGAACAAAACTGGCAACAAAAGTTAGAAGATTTATTTGACATCGCTCATCGTGATGCTTTAAATATTATGACTTTAGAAGAAGATAAACAGTTTTTGTTAGCAGTGCGGCAAAATCGACGCCAATTTTTGATTGGTTCAGTCGACAGAAAAAGTTTAAACAAATGTAAGAAAATAAAAGAGAAAAAAGAACGGCTTGATAAATTGCGCGAGCGTGAAAACAAAGATATCTCGTCTATAACAGAAAAATGCTCATTGTCTTCATTATCATTTATTTCGTCATCGTCTGCCACAACAAGTGGGGAAGTAACTCCATCTGACCCCGAATTTATATCAAAATTGACGAAGATGCAACCACCTCAAAAACGAGCTCGAAAAGATATTATTAACAGTCAATTAGCTTCCAGTCTTGATGTTTCTAAATTGAGTGACAGAAAAGCAACTATGGTCGTGACATCTACTTTGAAAAGCGCAGGCTGTGATCCATCAGAATTTAATGTCAATAGATCTTCTATTCGTTGGCAGCGTGTCAAAAATCGCAAAGCTGTTGCAGAGTCGCTCAAAAGCGAGTTTAAACCTAGTTCGTCTTTAACAATTCATTGGGACGGTAAACTTATAGAAGATATTACTGGACACAAAACTGTAGATCGGCTGCCAATTTTGGTATCAGGACATGGAGTCGATCAATTACTCGCCGTCCCAAAATTAGAACGTGGAACAAGCGAAGCTTGTGCGTCGGCTGTCTACGACGCTATAAATTCATGGAATTTGAGCGATAAAGTAAAATGTTTGTGTTTTGACACTACTGCTGTAAATACCGGCTTAAGAAGTGGAGTATGCGTTCTCTTGGAGCGCAAAATGGATAAAAATATGCTTTGGTTTGCTTGTCGTCACCACATAATGGAAATTATGTTGTCAGGTGTAGTGGATCAATCGCTTGCCCCATCTAGTGGTCCTGATATACAATTATTCAAAAGATTTAAGAACAGTTGGGACTCTATTGACCAAAGCGACTTCAAAACAATAACAGATGACGCTGAGGCAAAAATTCTTGCAGAAGTGGCCGCAGACAGGATTTCTTTTGCCAAAAAGCAACTTCAAGTACATCAACCTCGAGATGACTACAAAGAAATGTTAAATCTTACAATCATATTCTTAGGAGGTGTTCCTGAAAAAGGCGTTTCATTTCGGAGACCTGCTGGTCTACATCGAGCTAGATGGATGGCAAGAGCCTTGTACTGTTTAAAAATTTATTTATTTAAGCATCAGTTAAAGCTAACGAAAAAGGACGAAAAGGCTGTGAGAGAAATATGTATTTTCACGGTGATGATTTATATCAAATATTGGTTTCAAGCCTCTACCAGTCAGTCAGCACCAAGAAACGACTTACAATTATTAAAAGACCTTAAAGCTTTTGAAAGTGTTAACAAAAATCTAGCTACTATTGCGCTGAAAAAGATTTTAAATCACTTGTGGTATTTGTCGGAAGAGCTGGTTTCGCTTGCATTTTTCGATGACGAACTTTCAGTCCAAGAGAAGAAAAAAATGGTAGAAGCACTCAAAATTGAAGGCACACATGATTGCTTAAAACGAATAAACCTTGACATGGCGACCATCCACGAAAAAAATATAGAAAACTTTGTGAGCAGTAATTCTTTAAAATTCTTCCAGGTCCTAGGTATCTCATCAGATTTTTTTTATAAAGACGTTGAAACCTGGAACGAAGACCCTGATTATATAGCTGCCAAAAATATTGTTCATTCATTGCGTGTAGTGAATGATATAGCTGAGCGTGGTGTTGCTTTAATGGAAGAATACAATAAATTAATTACCACAAATGAAGAACAAAAGCAATATTTGCTTTTGTTGGTAAAAGAGTATAGAAAAAAGTATCCCAATACTAACAAGTCAACCCTTGCATCTTAAAAGTAAATCATTCAGATTATTTTATTTCATAGCATCAACAAAAATTGTGTAATATTTTTAAGACCTGGTTAAAAAAAATAAAGGATTCTGAGAAAAACAAATTTTGGCTTTTTATTTAAAATTTAAACCTTGGTAGCGACCTCTAAATGTTATTAAAAAAATTCAAAAAAATTACTGTAATATTTTCTTAAGGTATATAATCAAATTACGTGGTGCCCCCCGAAATTAAAGAAAAAAAATATTTTCCTTAAGAATAAGGACCACCCTAATGGTCATGATGTTTTTTTATAATTAGTAATTCCAACTTAGGCGAAGCAATAAATATACAACTTGTGCAAGAAGCTCAAAACTAAAAGTCGTTGATTCCCATTTTACTCCCGAATGGATTTGACCAGTTTTGTTTGTAAACGACACATTTTTGAGGCAGCAAATAAAAATATAGCGTCAGCTTGTACTTTGAATCTAGAATACGCTGAGCTTACAATTCACAGCTGACGCAAATCAAAATTTGAAAGAATGTAAATATCAATAAAACAATGTTTATAGTTATCAAGAAAGCCACACACTGGCTGTTTGATTTCTCATCTTCCGTCATTAGGAGTCAAACATATATCCTGAGAACTATGTATGTAAAATCCTATGTCTATTTTAGGGCATGAAATAAGAGTTTCTTTCTAGTTTTGTGATAGAAAATATTTTAATTCACATGTAAAAAAAAATGTTGTAAATGAATTAGGAAGTGTAACATAAAATACGTGTTATTTTAAGTGAAATATTTTATATAAAAAAAAAAATTGGGACAGAAAAATATTTACGCCTCGACTGAGACGTACGAAAAGCTTTATTATTAAATTTAATAGTATAATAAATACGCATTCGTATAAAAAGTT